CGATTCCTTCTGGTATTTTCGTTTCACTAGTGCCGTTTGTATCGAGGAAGACCAGAAACACGACTCTGCAACGAGATCGGTCTTTCCTACAGTTTCGTTTGTCAGATCGATTCATCAGAGCTCGTATACATGAAACCGTTCTCAAGCTCAAGCGTGGATTTTGTGCTCCAACCAACTTCCTTGTAACTTGCTTAAATTATGCCAAACGATCAAAAGGTTAAATGTAAACATTGAAAACAGCATTTGGCTTTAAATCTCTTCAATTTCTTTCCATATCATTGACAAAATAAGATTTCATTATTAATTTTTTAACGAAACAAGAAATTAGGCTTAAGCACAAAATTCATGCTTGAGCATGAGAACAGTTTCATGGGATACGGGCCCTGATGTTTTGAAAAGACATGCCGCGGCAGATTATAATATCAGAATACAAATAGTGAGCGGATGCTTTCTTCTATTACTGTAACAGAATCTTTCCAACAAGTATTCAAAACTTTAAATGCTTGTTTGATTTTAAAGACGGTTATCAAACTAATTCAAGTAATTGAAAGAACGAATGCATTGTAATACCACTGACTAAGATAGCAGACTAAGTATTCCTGAACCATTACGTCTTTATCATTATAAAGAGTGGATATCTCAAACTCACATATATATAATATCCTGGATATATAAACCGGGAAATTTTCGCTCAGGCAAACTTTCGCCCTTCGCCCATGGGTACAATTTTCGCTTAGTTTAATCTCGCCCTTCCCATTTGATAACTATGTATGTCATGATGTTTACTTATATTCGCTGTAATGATAAATTCACTCTCATTACACAGGGCAAAAACGGGTGAAATTAAACGTCAGCGAATGTAACCCTCTATACAGTAATATTGATGTTTCTTTGTTACCAGGGCTACCATCAGGGAACTACTACGTCATAGACACAGACTATGACAACTACTCCATCGTGTACTCGTGTTCTGACGTATATGGATTCACGCACGTTGGTAAGTACCCAGACAAAATTATAATGCACTGAGGCTCATTGAAATAATTTACACTGCATGAACAAATATCGTTGTTGCTGCCTTAATTTGCCATTCCATGTGAAATTATACTATTGTACAGCTGGTAATATTTGCGGAGGATTTAACATCGCTATCTTCGCAGTCACCAAAGATAGCGCGTAATTAAATACACAGAAAATACTCATACCATGAACTATAAACTCCGTAGATACATTTTTACAGACACCAAAGAAAAAATATGTTTGCGATTTAACTGTGAAATACTGATGATAGAAGAAAACTTCAATATCGTATTTACACAAATTACCAGTTAGTACATCCCATCATCAAAATACATAAGTATCCCAGTGAGCGGCATTTTTTTACCTAGCCCAACATATACATATATGTATTTGGACAATATGACACACAAAAGACGATAATGGCATATGTTTAGACTATAAAATGAACACTTACAAAATGATAACACAAATTTAAAACTAACTACACATACATAATAATAACACCACATTCCAAGACAATTACGACAGACATTTACATATTTGGCAACTCACTAAACTTTGTGACAAATGATGACATCTATTTCGCGATAGTTAGCTTTCCTTTCCTCAGCAGTTACATTCCGGCCTCCGGTGCGTACTTAATTTACATGTCACAGTCAATCCGCTTATATAGAGCCAGTTCTATGTATTGTATAATAGATAAATCATATCCAGTTGATCAATAAACAATATGTACAGGGTTTTCCACCTGAAACGATTAAATGCACATTAATGAATTATAGGGTTGTCAGCATGAACTGTTCCAGGTAAAGGGACTACAGTATTTTACATCATACCAGGAATTGTTAGTCGTATCTTAGATCGTTGGTGACCTATAGACTTTCTTTGATTCTTACGACAGAAATAATGACGGATGTCATATGTAGTGCATGAAACGTTTACACTTCCGGAGTAACTGGTCTCTCCTCTAGTTTGAAGAGCTGAGGATGCTTCATTTCTTTCTGTTTCTTGTTTGTGTCCGTTTAATACCTGTTGTCGTTATTCATTTAACGTTAGTGATTTGCATTGTTGTCGTTGGTTGTTGTGGTGTATCGACTTAACGATGTGATACATTGTTTTCCAATTTTGTATTAAATGAAGTTCCATTACAAATAGCTACTTTTAAACGCAATATTGACATTTTACAATTTTCCTGATTTTTTTTTTTTTTTATCAAAATCGACACATCACCACCTGTTCAGAACTTCTGCATTACATGATGTAGTTGACAAATCCAAATTCAATGTACTAATTCTGTTGTTTAGTGCGGGATATATCTATGTTGTATTATCATAACATGTTTACTATTTCAGAACTGGCTTGGATTATGTCCAGAGAGAGAAATGGTGTGACCCGCCGCCAGAGGTCAAAGTTGTACAGCCGATTATCAAGTCTGGGGATCGACACTACTCAGTTCATCGAGTCCGACCAGACCGGATGTGACGCATAATCACGTGGTTTACATCCCACGGCGTTGAAGTTCAATTATTCCTACAAATGTCACTGTAGATCACTTCTGTGTATTTCCCTTCGGAAATATACACAAATATAGATATAGTAAAGCATCGTATCGGTTGTTATTTTATGATTTGCGAATTCATGATCGTATTAACGTCTTTTCAATACCATATGTAAGCATGATGACAAAACATTTCCCAACAACAAATCTGTAATTAGAAATGAAACGGAAATGTTCTTTTATGTATTTGACATGAGGTTGACATATTAAAATACAAATTCACATGATACGTCGTTTATACTAGCACTGAATTGAAATCAAATATATTTTCAAGATCACAGACCTATAGCAAGAGTTCATTCGAAATAGTTTGTGCACATTAAAATTTAAAGAAGATACATGTAGGTAGCTTCAAATATTGCAAATAATGTAGAATCTACATTACTGTTTAACAGTGCATATGCTTCAATCTAGAATTTGTAAACAAATCTAAATTGTAATCAGAGTGGAGGTGAACAAACAATATATTCTTTCGTGCGTTTAGGGATCGTTAGAGAGTGCGGTCCCTGTACTTTAGATGTTGACAAATAGTGATATGTCTCGAGAGTTTCACTTCAGTCTGATAAATAAAATCAAAAGTTATAACACATCGTCAACGAATAATGTCATCCAAACTTTTAAAATTCGATACGAGCAGACAACTAGAAATCGTGAGAGATAAAAATGATATTCATAGACACCGTGAGTCTACACACAGAGGAGACGACAAAAGGGACTTCGGTAGGGTATATAAAAACATTCTCTACATCGAATGTGGTATCGGTAATTGTGACATCCATGATCCTCTAGCGGAAGTATCGAGATGATCAACAATCTAAGACACGTAGACTAACGAAGTGAACGGGTACTCAATACGGATAGCTATTTATTTCTCGTAGTTTGAAAGCAGGTGGTCAATATTTCAGATTTAGATTGAAGCATCTCGGGTAAAACAAACTCCAACGTTAAACCCTCGGGTACATATGTAACGCCCTAGATAGCAACAGCTATATTTATACACTGATCGTACGATTATCTTTACCAGTCATTTTGCAAAAAAAATCGTATGTGCATGTTTATTCTATTTTAGTTCAGGGTCATTTTCAATGGTGATATTATCAGTTTGAAATTCAAAACATACATTTTTTATTATGTTAGATCTTAACACTTCATAGCGGTTCTCTCTTCGGGCACTAGGGAGATGTCCTCGATATAACCCCACTCCAGGTGCGCCCCGCAGGCCGTGTCGTCGATATAACTCTACTCCAAGTACCTGCCGAGTAGTTGTACAAAATGTGATCAACTTAATGAGTTGTTCACTTAACAGCTTTGCATCTCAATTTTTACCGGTTATAAAAATATTGTTATGTTTCCCATCTCCATACGATTAGTGTTAAAAAGAAGACATGAAGGTTTACTTTTCATTAGAGTATTTGATAAAAAAAAATGCAGGTATACAGCGTTTTTAACGTATTCAAGCTGACAATACTTTGAACAAAAAGTAACACGTAAATTTTTTATTACAGGTATATTTACGGGTATTTCTAACTTGACAACCTACATGAAGTTGTAAAAAATTAATGTGTCGTATGTAGGTTGGGGAATGATATTTAATTTTAAATAGAATAAATCTATTCTCATTGTAATTGCTTTTTAAGTTCCCTGGCATACACAAGGAATCCGGGACTGTTTCCGTAGGCAGTTTTTCATTACTGTTTATTGCACAAAAGTGATGGATCTATAAGTGTTAATGAAAATTGAAGAGAAAGTCAAGTAGTTTTGATTAAATGTGTTTATGTCCAGCAATTGTATGTACGGTTGGGTTGATGATCTCCACCTTGACCATGATTAGATCAAAGAAACACACACATGCTAACAGAATCAGCCCTGAAGGCATGATGCGAATGGTCCAAATCCTAGAAACATGGATGTTGTTTTCTGACAATGTCCGATATAGCTATTATTTGTTTCAGGGTAAGGATTTTAAATGTTTTCAAGTTATGATCAATATCCCTACCAGTGCACACTCGCCCCATGGCAAATTGTGGTTGCACTAATATATATATATACATTTGTCTAATCATGTCGACCAGAGGTATAAATGGTTATAAGATGGGAAACCGTTTTGAAGTTATGATCAAATTTCCCTCATTCTCTCTTCTGTCCCCAGAGCCCAAGAGCAAAATTTGACAAATCCCTTTCTTCCCACAGAAAAAGAAAGTCTTAAGAGGTTAACCTCTATGCGGTCTCGTCCCTCAACACCTAGAGAAGCCACACACTTCGTTTTTAAAAAGCCCATGAAGTCCCTTTGCCCTAAAGTTGTTCCTGAACGAAATTGCGCAATACCCCTTTAATTTAACAGAAGAAGAAGGATTAAATAGGTTAACTTTATTTCTTATTTGGCCTCGCCCCTCACCCTCAAGGAAGGCTACACACTTCGTTTATAAAAATAAGTCCCACTGTGATAAGATTGTTCCTGGAGAAAATTTGACACAACCCCTGTAATCCTACAGGAGAAGGATTTTAAAGGTTTACTACTATTTCTGCTATTTGGCCCCGCCTCTCGCCCCTTAAGGGGCGACACCCGTTGCTAAAGTTGCTCAGAGCAAATTAAGACAAATTTTCTTCATTCTTCCATGATACGGATTTACCCGGTTTACCACTATTTCCGCTATTTGGCCCCATGCCTCTGCCCTCGTCAATGGGTAGCGGGTCGGGACCTTCCACTTATACAAAATTGATTAACCTTGTCAAAAGTTTGCTCCAGAACAAATTCTGATAAAATTTTCTTTATTCCTACTGACGAAAAAGGGACTTTGGCCCCGGAGAGACCACACCCTCCATTCATACAAAATTGAATTCCGTCGGCCAATCATTGCTTCAGTCCAAAATCAGCCAAAGCCATTTACCATTCAGGAGTAGTGGGAAAAGATGATGGACGGGCTACGGACACCGCGACACGGCACAATCTAGCATTGCATTTTGGGACAGCTAATGTGTTTCTAGTGTTATTAACGACCTTTTAATTATATGATATCGATATGTCATTACAGCCAATAAGTAGATCGCTTATCTAGTCAAATCTAACTTTTATATTACTTGTACATCAGAACAGATGCACCCACCAATGGTTGATAACCTGACCACTGTAACTCGACAATGAAAATGACGGGTCCACTTCAAGTATTGCTCCTCCTAGAACCGCTTCACTCCTCCAGGCATCATGCCCGACTAACCCAATAATAATTCTTCGATGTTATTTGTACAAAGTTATGCTAAAATAATACACTGTTAGTTAACATTGTAATATCGACAGTCTGCCAACAAATTCAAATTTACCATGTTGCCAGTATCATTAATTCTTCTTCGGATTAAGCTGAACTATCCATGAAATTCAAGGATGATTCGAGTAAACTAGTCTGATGTCTTTGGTGAAGATAAAGGAATCACGATGTAGTGTAACGGTAAAGTTGACTGGCTTTGATACCAGGTGTTGATCACTTGTAATCTTCGAAGGACAGTAATCAGCCAAACGACGGGTCAGGCTGATAATTTGCTTGAATCTAATCAAATTGCTAACCGGGTGCCATCGTTTTTGTCATGACAAAGGCCATTCCAGGGGTACAGAGAACGTAGTAAGCGTAACCCCTGGAATTTTCAGGATTACGGGACCATCGACTTTCCCATAAAATTGTGAATGGGGCTTGTGACATCAAAATCTTTAGAGCTCTATATTCTCAACAACTTAAATCCTAATCGCACTCCTCCAACCCCGGAGTTACTCTCGGAATCGAGGTCTTCCAGTATCACACAGATGCTAACATGTATATTGGTTGTGTTGTAAAGTAGGTATATATATAT